GGGTAAATGGGTCTTCTCCGTATACATGACTACTAACACTACGAATGGGTATATAAGACGGAAGATGTGGGAGGAGGACAAGGCGGCGAACATCTTTCAGCGTTGTCCACTTTTTAACATGGTCGAGATGGGTGTTGAAAAACCAGTCTGGAACTGTTCATGTGGGTGTGCAAATAGGGACAGATGAGCAAATAAACCAAAAAAATTGGAGAATAAGCGGAGACCAATGCCGCGATTTGAAAATTACAATCATGCTAGTAGGCAATATATGGAGCAAGGGGGGGTCAAGGGAGGGGGTATCTCTTGCGCATACGCGCGCTCATTCGTACTTGTGCAGTTTTTGCTACAGCCAGCTTCAGTTTGGCCCTGTAGATTGCGATCCGTGTACATGGGGATTGCCAGGTATGTTTGGTACGCCTGACACGCCATCATCGAGCAAACCGCTCATGTCGTGCCAATTCCAGTCATTCATGTTGTTGATGGTAAAGTCCATAAAATGCAGTTGCGTGTTGCGATCATAGCGGCCAGTGGGATGAATGGCCGGACCGACGTACGATTGATCTGGATAACCGCGGCTCTGCATGTCATCTGCAAACATGTACGTGCCAGCCGCAGGGGGTGATTGGTGGTACATGTGCGGCACGGCAGGTGGCTGCGTCAGTGGCTGAGTTGGGAGTGTGGGTTGTGGCGGAGGCTCGTGAGACTCTGCTTTTGGTTCGGAGATTCGGACGGGCGAAGCTAGCGAGTCGGCCATGGAGTGCAGTTCGGGGACGAGGGAAGCAAATTTCTCCAGTGTGCCAGGCATGTATGGGTTCCGGCGGTGCCGCTGGGCGAGGTCGGCAAGCTGAGAAAGGAAGATGCGAGATTCAGACATGTCGGTACCCTCGAGTTTGTTTAGACAAACCAGGTCTAGAACTAGTACTGAGCTTGAAGCTAGCATGTACCAAATGTCGAAATTGACAACGGCATCAAACTTTGCAAGATGATCGGACTTGAGCAGCAACTGGGCCAGGTCGCGGCCGGATTCCGAACAGGCGTCAGCCATTGCTATCAGAGCTGGATTGGCCGAGTCAGTGCCGGTTTTGGACAGAGTGGAAGCTCGGGCAAGGAGTGCTGAGCGACACAGAACAATCATGGTGTAGTGATAGAGACCGTGCATCATGATCAGAGTCCGTTGGCAAGGGGGCGGGGTAGCGTCAATGGCTTCTGGTTGCAAATGCTGTGGGAGCGTCTCCTTCCACCGGCTCAGGTCGCGCAGGGCAGATGCGGCGGGAGACAGGGGTCCAACGTACGCCTCGTCGCTCGAGTTTGGTTTGAGTGTCCTGGGCGCGCGACATACAGTGCCCAAGAGGGCCCACATGCGACAATAGGCGGCCATGAGGCCAGGGGGGCAGTTCATGATCTTGTCACTGGGGTAGCGGAGCTTTCCACCGGCGACTTCGATTGCGCTGGGGCGGTCGTAGGAGGATACCTGCATGTTCTCAAAGCCGTATAGGGCCCACCACAGCATCCTGCGTGTATCCCTGGCGAGTGGCGTGCTGCCTGCGCTCACGCTGTCCTGGTGCAGGCCAATGGCGTGGGCTATGCGGATGGCGGCGCCCGTCAGGTTCCAGCAGGCGTCGCGGTGGTTGGTGTTGTGCAGGTGGGCGGCAGCGAGGATCAGGGCCTGGACAGCCGTGACGCTCGAGGTGAAGATGACGCCTGGGAGCAGCTTCTGGACGCGGTGCCACCACAACCGCTCCTGGTCCTCGGCAAAGGGGACGCGGGCAACACGGCGGGCGAGCAGCAGCATGCAGGTGAAGGTGCATAGCCAGGCGGGGTCTGCATTGCGGGGGTCTGCGAGCCAGGCATCGTAGGCCTCGCGGAATGAGGGCTCATGCAGGACGGGGATATCTTGGTGGATGCGGTCGAAGAAGGTGCGGATGAGCAGCTCGAGGGTCGGGCGCTGGTTCGGGGCGAGGTGAGCGGCGGCGGCGGCGGCGGGGTCGAGGGAGCCGGGCGCGTTGGTCAGGGCGTGGTGATGATGTTGGAGATGGTCGCTGGCATCGGGCGACGTCGAGGCGGCATTCTTGCCAAAGAGGACAAACTCGCGCAAAGGTCCACGGCCGACGAGGGTACGCAGCTTGAGATGAAAGGCAAAGGAGCTGGCGGGCCCAATGTACTGCACCTGGCCCTGCTGGTCCGGCAGCAGCGAGACGGTGTCGTCGCCGTCCGGGTCGGCAGCATCGTCGTGGTCGGCATCGCCCTGAGCGGCTACAGATTCTGGGAGGGGGATGCCGTGCGAGGTAGCGAGCTGGCGCAGGGCGTCGGTGCTGGAGACATCGGCCTCTGGCAGCAGGCCCTTGACGAGGGCCTCGAGCAGCGCCAGGCGGGTGCCGAGGCCCTCAACGCTGCCATACAGGCGCTTCTTGCGAGGCTGCGTGGTAAGACACTCAATGTTGTGTACCATGCAGTACCGGCACGCGTCCTGGCCGGGCTCCTTGCGGCATTTCTGCTTGCGCGACTTGCACTTGTCGCAACTCGTCTCGGTGCGCTTGCGTTTGTCGAGCGGGACTCGGCGCGAGTTTGTTGTCGGCGCGGGCGTCGAGGAGGACATGGGGGCGGGCGGGATTCACGACGCAGGGAGAAGAAGAAGCATGGTGGTCGTGGTGGTCGTGTGCACGTCTCGACCACGCTGCCCACTCGTCCAAAACTGCCGCTGCCAGTGCGAGATGCGAAAGCGATTGCGCCGAACTTTTCAATCGTAGTGCAGGGACTCGGTGTCGCGGCCAGCCCGCCAGCCCGCCAGCCCGCCAGCCCGCTATGCTGCGTCTTCCCGGTCCGTCGGGAATTCGCCCACTAACAACAGTACACCACCACCACCACTACTACTAGGTGTACCACCACCACCACCTCCACCACCTCCACCACTTCCCGTACACTACTACCACCTCCTCCTCCACCATCGTCTCCCTGCCCGTGGGCCCTGCCTGCTCCGCCGCCTCCGCCGCCTGCCACTGTGCGCCCTGCCGCCTTGCCTTGCCTTGCCTTGCTGCTTCGCCTCACATCGCCGATGCATGTATGAATTGTGTCGATACACGTCGACAACCACTGGCACGCCAGCTCACTCCCAGTCTGCGTGCGGCTCGGAGGCATGCTTTGGGCCTGGCTGCGCCACCGTTTGATGATGCGGGGAACTCGGATGCCAACCGACAACGAGTGCTACCGCTACCAGCCTACACTACTCCAGTCCTACTACGCCTGCCATATGTCCCGAGTAAGTAGTAGTATCCACTAAGAACCCTCCTGGCGCACATGACTCGGCCCTGCTCTCCTGCACGATCGATTGCGCCCCCCCATGACTCGGCCTATCGCCGCTGCATCCCTCCCAGCTCCCCCAATCACTTCTGCATCCGTCCACCATCTCTCTACCCAGATGTTCCCGTTGCGAGGCACACGCCGCCATTCCCTGCACGGCCTAGCAGCGGCATCTTCCGTCTACCATCACCACCACCATCGCTATTCTTACCCTTGTGGGTAACACCATTCGCCGACCTTGATTTCTGCCACCCTGCATCCTAACTACACACCTGCCGCCTTCTAGAGCACGCCAAACCCCTCTTCACCCAGCAACAAGTTAAAAATAAAAAACAAATAAAAGACGTACAGCCTCTACTAGCCGTGTTTCGGACCACGAATTGTGTACCAACACCACAACGGAACCCTTTTTGCCCCCTTCGACCTGCATCCTCCGTGCTGCCCATCACCGCCGCTCTACGTTTTGCTAGTGCCCCTTCAGGCACCTGCAGCTACCCTACCAGCTGGTTTCAGAGCCCCAAGCATCAGGGTCCGACCATTGCCGCTAGCCGACGCCAGTTTCAAGTCGTCGGTAGGCCTTAAAACCCGTGTACCGTATCAATGGCTACACTGCACGGTACTTCGGGGATCTGTTGTCTACAGATCGTCGGCTGGTCTAGAGTCTGGACCATGTTCAGATACCAAAGGCCCGAAAAGACCCACCCGAATCCTTCCTCGTGTCCCGGTACTGCTTCCGCGTGCCGCGCAAACTCGAAAAGCCCTCTCTGCCTGTCATCCATGCCTCCATCATACTCTCCCAGCCCAGCCATATGCACTTCCGCTGACACGTTTCCATGCCACGGCATCTTCTTCCCTCAAAGCACGATGCGCACCCACCCACTTGATTCCATGCTCCCCTGGCCGCCGCGCTTGTATCTTGCGCCATCGGCTTGGTAATCCTGCTCCCGATTCGGGGCATGCCGACTAGCACAACGTCATTCCCACGGTCTTCACGGCTCACTTTACCCTTTCCAACACTGTGCCAATCTCTCCCGATCAAGTCTATACCCACACCTGCTCTCCGCTTCGGGCACAGTAGGCATCAAACGGGCCATTGCAAGATACTCTTGGTCAATCATCCCCCCCTGTTGGAGCCATTGTCGTCACAAGGGCGAAGATCGCATGCACTTTGGACAGCGGAGCAACTCGGGAACAATTACACCGCAGGGGTAGTGCTAGCCGAAGATTATTGCTATTGCTATGGCGGTCAACCGCACCAATGCAGGAAACATGACAACATCATAGCTAATGCCTAGCATCTTCCACATGCTGATCAGAAAAAAAACCCCCCTTCAGTCTTATGCATCGTCTCCAACCATGCGCCATTTACTCGTCGTCTAGGCATATGCCCGCTTGTCCTACCGCATACGCAATCGCACACCTGACCGCACTTACAATTGCGTAGGGTAGTCCAATGTCTCAATCTTGTCAGGGTATGCCAGACCCCCCTGCTTCCTTACCTCATCCATGACCTCCATGATCAAAATGCTCTCATCCAGGCCCAGGAACCTGCCCTCCTTCCGGCCGTTGATGATGGCATCGGCTGCCTCATCTGCCTCCCAGAACATGCCTTGACCCTCTCCTTCTGATTGTAGTGAGCCACCAAAGCCGTTGTACCAGCCGCTTCCCTTACCTGGGCCCGGGATCGGAAATTCCTTGGATTCGACCTTGCCGTCCTTGGTAATAATCTTGGTCGAGCGGGGCCGGAACGACGACCCAAACACTTGGATCTCGCCCAATGGTCCTTGAATACGAACAAACGGTGTGTCCATGTTTCCCCCAGGTGAAGTGGCTACACGAAGAGACGTTGTGGCTACAGCATGCGCCTCACCGCCTTCCTCCTTTGAGCGTGGAAATCGCAGAATCACGGTGCTGTGCTCATCAGCCATTCCTGTCGGCTCGTAGTTCTTGACAAAGGCTTGCAGCTGGGGCGCCTGGCGCGTCTTCTCGGGCTGCGTGTGGTATATGGTCTGGAAGACCCAGGTCAGTGCGTAGATGCCGAGATCAAGCAGGGCGCCACCAGCCAGGTCTGGGTTGACCATGCGGTTCTTGCCATCGGCAAAGCTCTTCTCCGGGTCGAGCGCCATGCTGTTATCGGAGAGGACGCGCGTGACGGGTCCAATGCGTCCAGCAGTGATTTGCTCACGCACATATATCGACAGAGGAAAGTAGCGGGTCCATACTGCCTCCATCAGGAACAGGTTCTTTGACCTGGCAACCTCGGCAAGCTTCCGTGCCTGGGCCGCATTGACAGTAAAGGCCTTTTCGCACAGCACATTCTTGCCCGCCTCCAAGCACAGCATTGCGTTCTGGTAGTGGTGAGAGTGCGGCGTGGCAATGTAGACAACGTCAATGTCCGGGTTCTTGACAAACTCCTCGTACGATCCGTATGCCTTTGCGTCCGACGGCGCGCCGACCTCCTTGAGAAAGTCTTTGGCACGCGATTCCGACGTCGACGACGCAGCGGCAACAACCGTGTGCTTGAGATGGTTCACGCCACGAGTCGTGGGATCGCACAACAAATCCCTGGTACTGTTGTTGTCCCGTCAGCCTGCTGCCATAGCCATCTATGGTGGGGGGTGGGACGTGGTGGCACCATGGCGGGGTAAACCATTACAACGTACAAGGTGAGGGCGATGCCTCCTGTAGCCAGGATACCCCAGCGAACCGTCTTTGGTGATGCCATTGTCGAGTTTGCTGTTGTCTATTTCGTTCTTCCTTGTCTTGGGGAAAGCGATTGGCAATGTCAAAGTGCTAAGCAACAGTAACAAAGAGTGCTGCGTGGGCAGCGAGGGTTTGTTGATGATTTGTACAGCTAGGTAGCTGCAGAGCTCAAACGTCATGGAACTGTTACCCCACTCTTTTGCCGCCCCTCCATTTCATCTTCTTGCCGGTGCCTAAAGGAAACGGCGGGCCGCGGAGCGTAGCGCGAGGCGGTCGCAGATGCAGGGAGGACATGACTTCTCAAGTGCATTATACCGTTTTTGGCCCGCACAGTGTATATATTTACTATGGCGCGATACATTGTTCTAACCAACAACAGACCATTTCTATTCACCAGTATATCCCAACTCGAGTCCCAGCACACGATGCTATCTTGGTAACCCTTTGTCTCCAACTCAACCCTGCCTAACCACCCACTCTAGCCATGCCCGCTTTCTATCTTCAAATATAGTACTTAAAGTACACCATTACCCTTATCGGCGACCCGCACGTTTGATTTGGATCTCCAGGGCACTTTGTCGAACACTCGGCCACCGGAACTGCCACGGTGCCAAGAGAGGTGTTTCCGCACGAGCATCCAGTTCCATCTCCGAGAAAAAAGAACCCGGATTTGGAGCAGAGCTGCGCGCATTCCCTCGGGCTGTTCTTTGGGAGTCTCCGGTAGGCGGTGCCAGAATTGCTAATGCCGTTGTTCGTCTCGACGCGGCAGGTCATGGGCAAAAACATAAAGGGCTTATTATTGTTCAGCTCTGCTTGCTTGGCTGCGAGCTGCGCTGATAGTGTCTTTTCGCGGTTCACCAGCTGTTGTTGCTTGGATACCAATTGTACTTCTAGTGCCTGCTCACGCTCCAGGCACTGCACGTTGCTCGCCTGGCACTCGTCTAGCGAAGGACAGGCGGTCGCGTTGTCTCCAATTGGCGAGGGGACGGGCTGCTTGAATGTGAGGCCGTTTGTGCACGTGCATGAGCAGTCGTGGTTGTTTAGTGACGGGTCTGTACAAGTGATTGATGGGCTAGCACCTATCCATTGGTGTTAGATGTGCCAAGTGCTACTTTTATTAGGTTTACTTGCCATTCTCACACGCGTACATGGTTCCAGGGAGGTCGAGTCCGCCCATGGCATATTGCATGTCATTGGCAGAGATAGTTGTTGTGTAGAGGGCGGAAACAGCGAGGGTCCAAGAGGCACGCATTGTAGCTTCAGGTAAGTAAATAGAATCTAAAGGATATAGGGTTGAACTTGATGATCAGAACGGCTTCGATAGCTGTGGCTTTATAGAACTTCGTTCTCTATCCATTTCTTAGGCGAAAGTTCCGTCTCTTCATGCGGCATGAAAAAGTATCGATTGAGATACACATCTGGATTGCAGGCGGTGTGCTGGATGTAACAATGAGACTCCCGGAACTTGGTGAAGACACCTTCTCTTCGAGTCTTTGCGTTTTCTTTTTCCCTTTCTTTTTCCCGGTTCTCATTCTCAAAAATCTCCGTTTTTGCAACAGTTATCTTTCAAGTTCTTACCTGCTGGACCACCCTACTAGTCCCTGAATCATTCTATTAGCCAAATCATTCACTAAGGAAAGTGGCTTAGAAAGGAAGAGAACCAAGTATCAATACTATGCCTCCAAACCCCTTCCATCCCATACACCACTTCCATCTACACATTCCCTCTCTAGTCTAAAGCCACCCGAACAAAGCAAATACCAAATTTCTACCGACATGACGTTCAACTTTTCTGAAGTAACCCTAGATGAATAACCAATCTCGCTTTACAGGCATCGACTTGACTGAGTCTCTCTCGCAAGCCTAATAGCTTTCTAGCCTACACTAAATTCCCTCAGTATTCAAAGCGATCCAGCCGGAATTCTGGATATCGCTACACTGTTACTCGCAATGCCGCAAGCCACAAGCATTGTTCGAGCGGATACACGGATGGACTACTGCAACGTGAAAAAAGTATTGCTAGAGCAGGGTAGTATGTGGGGTTCGGAAAGGCTGGGGATTAGGTGAGAAAGGCGGAGACGGTGTGGGACAAGGTGTAGTGTAAGAACAATATCCAGATATGTAGCTGCTGATTGGTGTCACGTGCAATTGTTGCTCAGGTCATGCGTCAACACGGGCTAGAAAAGCATTTTCATGCTTGTATTAGGAAAGAGGGACAGGAAAAACTATGACTCTTGCAGAATCAAACACCGGTCGTTGAGAAGGAAAGTGATTTTCGAAAGTGCATGTGTTTAATATCCAGCACGACTAGCCGATTGGTTCATAACGAAACAGCCTCGCACGACTTGCAACCCAACACTGTGCCCCCCGGACCCATCAGCACACGAACACCAACTAAACCCACGTTGATAGTAAGGCCCATTACTGATGCTGTCATACATGGACGTAAAACAAGCTTCTTGCCAAGCTACAGATCCGGGGACTGCGCGATTCGGCACGTGGCGTGTCTTCATTTAAACAAATTACTTTCGATAGCTTGTCGACTTAATATATCGACTATTAGCGAGGTCATCTCGAGTCACAGTCACTTCAATGGGGACATTTTTACAGCTGCAGCTGACCTCACATAGTAAATCAAACCCCACAAAAAGCACATGTTATCCCACCTTGGATTAAACAGTGGACGAGCAAGCAAGAAATCGAGAAAACATTTGAATTCTCATGGAATATCGGGGACACCCAACGTTATTTTCCTACGACCCCACTGGACTCCAGCTAGACAGAACCATGACCCGGTGGGTCCTATATGCCATACGTATTATATACAAATGGTCCACTAGGGAGGCGAGGCCTTGAGAATACCCCAGCGCTCGCTATGAGAGTGCCCACGCGTCACAGACGAGGCCTTGCAGACTGATTAATATACATCCAACCCACATTATACCACGTGTGGAAGACTGAACCCGGATCCAGGTGAAAAACAAGCTTTGCGTTTATACATCCAGGTCATCCGACCTGATATGCCTCAAAGCCCCGCCTGTCGAGACGTGCTGGAAGCGAGATGCAACCGAGCACGCAGTGTAATGTTTAGCTGCCTATGTCTCAGTATAAAAGGATTGTAATATGCAGTAAACTGTCACATTGAAAGTCACTGTTCATCATCTCCTATATCTTCTTGTGTAGGCAAACGCCATACAACTTCCGTAATGAAGAACACTCTCCTAATAACCGGCATATCTGCCTTTGCAACCCATGTTGCTGCCCACGCAACATTCCAAGACCTCTGGGTCAACGGAGTAGACAAGATATGTACCCTCTAAACCCATTCCTTCCACAACACTAACATCCACCCACCAGTCCACCTGCGCAAGACTCCCCAACAGCAACAGCCCCGTCACCTCCGTCACAAGCAACGACATCCGCTGCAACGCCAACCAAGGCCCCGCCGCCTCCAAATGCAGCGTCCCAGCCGGCACCACCGTAACCATCGAAATGCACCAACAAAACGGCGACCGCTCCTGCGCCAACGAAGCCATCGGCGGCGCCCACTACGGCCCCGTCCTCGTCTACCTCTCCAAAGTCTCCGACGCCTCGACCGCCGACGGCTCCACCCCGTTTTTCAAAATCTTCCAGGACACCTGGGCGCGCAATCCGTCGGGCGGCGGCGGCTCAGATGACTACTGGGGCACCAAGGATCTGAACAAGAACTGTGGGAAGATGGATGTAAAGATTCCTGCGGACCTCGCTGCGGGAGATTACCTGCTGCGTGCTGAAGCTATTGCGCTGCATGCAGCGGGGAGCTCGGGTGGAGCGCAGTTCTACATGACGTGTTATCAGATTACCGTTACAGGAGGTGGCTCGTCTGTTCCCTCTGGCGTTTCTTTCCCGGGCGCGTACAAGGCGTCTGATCCGGGTATCTTGATTAATATCTACCAGAAGCTTGCGTCGTATGTTGCCCCTGGCCCCGCGGTTATTGCAGGTGGCACCGAAGCAGTTGCTGGACAGGCTGGATCGGTGGTTACGGCTACGGGTGGACCGCCGGCTGCTACGCCGACTCAGACGAGTACTACGTTGAGAACGTCGACGGTGGCGACGTCTGCGGCGCCAGCGCCGACGGATGGAGGTGGTAGTGGGGGTTGCTCTGTTGCGAAGTTTGGGCAGTGTGGAGGGAAGGGGTTCACGGGTTGTACGACTTGTAAGTTTATTAACATGGAGAGGGGGAATGTGTGGTTGAGAAATGTTCATCTTTTACTGACTTTGCATAGGTGCTTCTGGATCGAGTTGCAAGGCATCGGGTGAATTCTACTCTCAGTGCTTGTAAAAAAAAGCTGATATGAAATGTAGCATCCATGTGCTTTCGGAAGTAGTTCTTTTCTGTAAATATTTGTTGACCCGTTACTCCTTTATGTATCTATCCATCATCTCCCAATTTCGGAGTTGATAATCGTAACCCACATCCCAACATCGATTTATAATTCCTCTTTACCAAGCCTATCAATGTGACTATTCCTGCGCCTAGCGTAACTATGTACTTCCTCCCATGCCCTTCTTACTCGTCTTCATTACATGTGTCCCGGAATAAAACCACATCAAGCCACAAACCCACCATCCCATTCCGCAACCGCGCGCCCCCTACGCATCCAAATCTTATTCCGAACCCTCCACCATTCCCACCCCTCAACCCACAGAACTCCGAACCTCCCCCCTTCCTTCCCTCCACCTCCGGAATAAACCCCTTCCCCCCCCTTATCCCCTTCTTCTCCTCTCACATACCTATATCTCCGCGCACCTATCAAACAACCCAAGTACCTTCGGCATTGGACGCCTAACCCTTTTCCCCACCCCTGCACACACCTCAACTGCTGCCTAAGCCCTAAGGCGCACGCGCGCCATCTCGACTCATACTGACCATCGCCCTTTTTTTTTACTCCGCTTACTTCTGTGGGCTCAGCTGCTGCTGTAATGGTGGTCTAGAGGAGGGGGAGGATGTATTCCGAATGGTGCGGTATAGGGGTTTTGGACATGCGGGATGGAGGGGGGGAGGTGGGAGGTGAGAAAGTCATACAGCGCTTGGGGTTAAGAGTATATATATATATATATATGGGAATGGTGGGGGGGAATGGAAATATCGACATCACTATCTCACAAAGCAGATTTGAATCTTGTCCAACTTTCTCTCAACTGCCCCCTTTTTTTTTGTATGAACCGCACTTTTCCATTCATAAAACAACAAGATATCAAAAGACCGCTGGGATAGTAATGTCGTCTTCACACTCCGACACCACTGCTACCGCTACCGCTACAGTCCACGCACCGCCCGTCTACTCTACTCTCTCGCCTCCATCATACACCGCGTCTGCATCCTCGGATACAAACTCTGTACGCTCCCGTACATCGGTGTCGAAGAAAGTTCTTGGCAAAATGTGGAATACGCGACGTAAGTTCACCGGTCTCTTTCTTCATGTGGGTGTTGGAGAAGGGAAAGATGGAGAGAAAGAGACTGACAGGTGGACTAGATGAAGAGAAAGTGGGAAAAGGCAAGGAAGAGAAGCAGAGGAATGTAGAGGAGAAGGAGGTCAGGGCTGAGGCTAGGGCTGTGTATTTTGCTTTGCAGTAAGAAGGGGGTGAGGAAGTGTGTGTATGTGTGGAGAGAGAAATTGCCGGTGATTCTTTCTTTTTTTCTTTTTAGGAAAGCATATGTTTAAGGGTGTTTTTTTTAGAGTGCTTAGGGAAGGATTTAATAGATTAATCTGGATTCCAAGGGGTTTTAATTCTCTCTCTTGGATATACGGTGTAGGGTATGTGTTTGAATGGAATTTGTGACGTGGAGTTTCTTTCAGGGATTAAAAAAAAAGATATATGACGGAATATGGTGTAATATACAGGTCGTCTGGCCGTCCTTTCAAGAGAATATGTGTAGAGGAAGAAAAAAATAAATAAGATTGGGAGATAGATTGCCGATTTCGCCTTCCCATGTCTAGACTGAATTTCGCTCAACAGACGACATTAAAATCCTTCAACGAATGAACGTAAATTTTCAAGTATTAGAATTTAGAAACATCATAATAATTTGGTAAAAAAACAAAAAACAAAAAATGATAAGACACAAAAAAAAATCCATCCAATTTCCCAAAGACTTGCAACTGCCCGCGTCCAGTATTACAGCCATGACGCCAACGACCAACGCAAACACTTTTGAAAACATATACACAAAAAACTCACCCTACTCCTCACAATTCGTCCCGCACGATGTCCTCCTCGCCCCTATATAATCCTCCTTACTCCCTTTACTCCCCTTACTCCCCTTACGCCCACCTGTCGTTTCATCCGTCTTGGTACGCTCGGGCGGATGCCGTCTAACAAAGCACTCACCAACATGATGACCCTCTTCACACGACACAACCCACTTACCCATACCGTAATCACAGGGCGCAGTTCGCACACCCCTTCCGCCACCTCCTACAATCAAGTTGCCAGGGCGGTACTTTGGATCCGCACGCATGCGCTTGATGACGCTGCAGTGGATCACGGCGTTGGCAGGGATATCACGTGTTTCACCCTTGGGCAGCGGCCAACGAATAGCTTTCCAACTGCCGTCTTCTTGCAGGTCCATGCGGCGGAAGGGGAGGTACTCCATTATGTTCCAGGAAATAACGCCCATGCGGTTTACGCCGTTGTTGAACTGCAGGACGTCGTGGATGCGGCCTTTGGTCGCTGCAGCGTTGAGGTGCTGGTGGAAATGCGTGTCTGGGGTTTCGCGGTGGTGCAGGAGAATGGTTTCGTCGTCGGTATAGCCCGTGATTCCACTGGACGTGATTGCGTCGGCGTCGGTGGCTGAGGGCGAGGCGGGGTCGACTTCAATGGTTGGGACATCGTTGTGGGTGTGGGTACCACCGCTGGGCATGGCGTTTTCGTGGCAGCAGCTTAGAGCTTCTAGCTTCTCCTCGTCGAATTCGAGACCGGCTTTTTGGGCTTCGCGTACCATCCAGACGAGAGGGACGTGGCTTAGTGCTGCGTCGCCGTCGTCAATGGGCCAGCCGCCTCCAATGTCCTGTACTGCGTTAGTTTTTATCAACCATACTATCATGTTAAGATCGCACTCACAGCATGGCAGCCGGGAAACCAGACTTCTTTAATGTCCTGTTCGCCTTCTTCGTCTTCTGAGTTGTAGGTTGCGCGAGCATCGACTGATCGCATCGAGGGAGTAGGAGAGCGATTATTGTACCCCTTGCTTGAACTACGCACTCCCGAAGTGTCATGAGGATTTCTAAATCGCTCAGGAGGAATCAGATTCTCACTTCGACCTCTGTCTTCCTCACCGTGGTTGTCTTTTTCATCAACATGCTCATGATCGCCATGACTGTGAACCATGTCCTTCATCTGGTTCAAATGCTTATGACGGTGCTTATAGTACATGGACCTGTCTGGCTTTTCCTGGGAGATCAAATCTTGTCGGAATTTTGCGCGGCGCTCATCGATTGAAACCGCATGTCGGATGACGCGGGCGCTACTTCGTGCAGTGTATGGGAACCTGCTGCGCTGCATCCATGCATTCTCAAAGGCCGGGACACTGTTGACAGTATCGAAAAGACCAAGAAAGCGGATGGGCTTGACAGGACGGCTAAATGTCTCTCTGAAAGCGCACATGAACTCGAGTTGTTTATGTTTTTCTGACTTTTCGCCAGGCTTCCTGTTTTTCTCCTCTTCTGGAACTCGACATTGCCATTTTTGAAATGTCCTGAAAGCTTGGTCAGCGAGATCTCGTCATGTCTGTTAAAAAACTTACTTCCACGCAAATTGGCACATCTCCTCATTACCTGCCTACTAAGAGTTAGAATAATGCGCACTATGTTGCAATGACCAGATACTCACAGAAAGTAAACCGACATGATCCAGCATTTCGGCAAGAAAGCGAGCGGTATAGGCGCCTCGCGAGAAACCGAAAAAATAAATATCATCTCCAGGGGTATAGTATCGCATCAAAAACTACAAGTCTGTCAGTCAAACAGCTCATAGTAACTGAGATTCTGGATTCCAGGAGTTCTGTACAACCCCGCTTAGAAAGACTTTGCTAACATACCTTGTATCCTGCCATAACGTGCATGTCAAAGGATGTTCCTGGTGGCGTTAGATTGTGCAAAATCACCAACAAGGGCAAGCCTACCGATTGCACTGTCTTTTGCTTTGGCATACCATGACTGGAATCTTTCCCATCGGCCTGTTCTGGTCATGGAGCCATTGGCTTTGGTGATATAAGTGCCAATACCCGGCTGGTAGTAATGAAATTGGTCATCGCCATTGCGATCGAGCATGCGATAGATTTTGAGAATATTACTGTCTGAATCTGTACCAGAGAACTTGTTACCTGTGCCATCGAAGCACAAGACAAACTTCTTGGTTACGTGACCTTGACGGTGCGGTGTAGCTCCGTAGTCCATTGGATTTTCGCTGCGAATCGATGTGGCAAGCTGGGGTACAGGCATCTGAGAACGCAACTGCTCGGTATTCTTGGAAGTCATGTTGGCCAAGTCAAAATGCGAGCGGGAGGGGCTCGTGGTTTGGGGAGGATATCAACCAGGTCTTGGAAAGTGGGGATTTCGACGCATCAGACACGTAAAGAGATATCTACCGGCAGCAGAAGGCCGAGGAACAAAAGTCTGCAACAGGGTTATGCGCGTTTCTTCTCCCTCACATTAGCTCGCGCGTGGTTGTCTGGCAAGCAAAAGTGTCGATCACCAAGATTGACGCAACATGCAGAAGGTCACACCCACCTACGGCTCGATGGGGCAGCGCGCTGATGAGACCGAGCCGTCCAGGAGCCAGTGAGAGGCCACTGGTAGATTTTACTCGACTTGGTTCATCACATGCATTGCACTGATATGCAATAGACTAGTAGGGCGAGCTAGTTTGCTTGAGTCTCCACCTGCCGCACACGGAGACATGAGGCGCAAGTGGCCCGGAGGCGAAGGCGAAAATCAACAAAATGCACGGTGAGGACTCGAGACAGACCGCTCCCATGTTTTGTTGTACGTCAGTGCAAAAGAAAAGGAAGCGAAACATGAGCTGAGGTGACATGGTGACCAGACATTGGGAGGCAGGGGTTGACATACTGATGGATTAAAAGGTACCTAGTGAAGGTAGGAGTATGCAGTTGTTACGAACGGCGGGCGTAATGATGGAGTTGCTTTGCTTGGGCGCGGAGAGTCATGTAGTGCCATCAGTCGTGTGGATCGGCGGTGATGTGAGGAGCTGAGGTCAATGGAGTCGCCGACACTGGCTGATGAAAAGCATGGCCAATCTCGTCCACAAGCGGCTTAGCGCCTACCCTGCGGTCGATCAATTACGGGCCGCCGCTGAGATCCCTCGTACCCCACCCGCCCTTGTTCCGTCTCGTCTATCGATCGTCGCCGTGCTTGATCTTGTCCCTTCCTGGTCCGCCACAATAGCCGGAGAAAAATGGCCGCTTCCACAATAGTGTAGCTACTCGCTAGAACGAGCAGCACGCGTATACTAACTCTCGACAAGGAGACATGATGAATCAGCGCTGCAGAGATTGAGCATTTCAACGGCGTTACACCCAATGTAGTGCTCGTTGCACAAGGATTGAACCGGACATTTTGGGCTACGTACTTCTTACCCGCCGAGTTTGGCGCACCAGGAGATCCTCCCCAGTAACACAGCACGCAGCGCCTGTAGCCCGGTCAGCGTGACCTTGCATATCCGGGACAGGCCGCACACCGCGGAAAGGCGGCCCCTAGCACCCTACTCGACAGGGTAGTTTTGGAGGCTTGTTCACGTGCTTCTCCGCCAGCCAGCCATCACCACAGCACGGCTTCCCACTGCCTCTCCTTGAGCATTATCCAGCTACCCGCGAATTCCGCTCCTGTTCATTTAGAATACGACTTGTTTGGTTGCTTCACCTCTCAAACCCATTTCCCCGCCTGGTTCACGTACCCGGTAGACAGGTGCATCCGTAGGTCCCCTGCAGATTTCTTCTGCTTGACAGCTCATAGTGTCACCCAGATCTGCAGCGAGCTCTATTACCTGACCTATCAATCGTGCATCCTGCGAGTCAATGGTGCGGGAGGGACCATTTACAGGTCTGATCACCGCTGTTGATGCATCCGATCGAGGTGGACGTGCAGTGTTCAGCCGTGGATCAGTGACCGTGCTATGAGATCCCACTAGTGATATCATTCACATGGCCGCAGAGCGCCAATAGGATCGACGGGAAAGGCGGTTAATACAGTGCAAAGGTCCAAAACCCATCATACACAGTGCCCATTTACGCATAGCTCCAAAAAACGCCCACTGACGATATCTGGAACTGCTCACCGAGCCGACATGTTGATCACTGCATCATGCCTGCAAGCGATCGTCGTCCTGCACCTTGCTTCTTGTCGCTGGACTAAGGGTCTGCGTCGGGAGCACGACGCCTATCAGTGCCCATTGCTCTTTTCGCAAGCTACTTTGCTCATACTTGGAGACTTCCCCGCCTGCTACATAGCTTCAGTTTTCCTTTCCTTTCCTCTCACATGCTCATCATAATCACTATTCATCATGCCAGGCCAATTGTCAACGTTGATTGAGAAGATCAGAAAGAAGCCTACGCGCGCC